GTGAGCCACCTCCCCCAGCCAAACTCACATTTCTTCTGTACTGGGATACACAGCTAGATGATACATAAGCAAACAAAGGGAATTAATTTTTTAAAATTAAGTATTGATAGAGATGGATTGTGGATTAGTCAGAAATGGAGACGTTGTTCTTCAAAGGAACCAAAGCTGGGAAACACTGTCCTAAAACATCATAGATCTCCAGAAATATGGAAGGGAAGGGGGAGAGAAAGGGAAGAGAGAAGGAAGAAGTGAGAGGACAGAGGGCGGAAGAAAGAAAGGTGAACTTTCATTTCCATTTTCTGTTCGCTTCGAAGAAGTTCAGTTAATAATCTAGTAACAACAACAACAATAATAATAAGCTTTCACTGGCCTGAAAATAAAGATCCCTTCCTCTTCTCAGTTCTCTTTCTATCCTAGTGGAGTTGACAGGAAAACAAAAAACAAAAAAAAATCCCCATAGCCTGAAGGCAAATCCTGCTGTCTGGATTATGTTGTCAAAATTAATTCAAATTCTGCTTGAAACCTGGTTTCTTTCAGGGTTGAGACCTTTCCCTTGGAATAATATTATTTAAGGGCAAGCAGGTTTGGTTTGTTTTTACGTCTAATCCTTTATTGATCATTAGCCCAAGACGCCAAGTATAACCAGGTAAACAGTGAGAAAGGAAGGAACAAAAGGCATTTCCCAGAAGCCTCCTTCCCCAAGTGCAGTGACTCAGAAGTGGAGGAACAATGCCCATCTGGGGGGCACCCTGGGGAGGATACCCCATCCCTCTCTGAAAATCCACGTTTCTGAAAGAATTGGCAACCCATTGATCCATTTGACATTCATCCTCTCCAATGTGGGGAAAGTATTCCTTCTCTAACAGCGTGCAAGAGGGTTTAGGTCTGGAACCTGCGGCCTTCTGATTGCAAGATGGTTCTTTTTTAAGCACCAAAGGAGGGAAGAAAAGCTTCATCTTTCTCTGCTGCACCCCTTTTTATAAAAGGATTTGTTCTGTAAAATTTGCATTCTGTCAAGAGGCTGCCGTCAAGGATCCAGAAGGCCACATGTGGCCCCAAGGCCACAGGTTCCCCACCCCTGGGAGTTACAAGGCACTAGTAGAAGGCAAGAAATATCTTTTCAGTTTTTCTCAATCCTGCTAACAATGACAAAGAGAAAGTTTCACTTCGATGCCAATATGTCATTAACTCCTCTATGTGGCTTGCTAATAATCTGCTCTTGTAGTGGAGAGAGTAGACCTCAGGGTCAGACGACCTTAGCTAGCTAGAATTCAGTGACATTGTTTTCATTATACTTATTTTTTGATACTTTGTATTGATGTTTTTACGCTTACAGATGTGGTTTAAAGTTTCCTTTTAAGAAGCTTATTTAGGTTACAAAAAGTGAGTTGGTTCAGAGGCAAGTATTAAATACGTAATGTGGCGTGAATTATGAAGCTGAAGTTTGGGAGACCCTCACTCAGCCAGACCACCTCAAAAGAAGAACCAAGGGGCTCCTAAGTGAAACTGCACTCACTCTTCTCATCTCCAGCTATTGTCCAGGCTTTCCCTCTGCTTACAACATACTCATTAATGTTTAGCACCTTGAAATTATAATAATAAGTAACACGTATTATAATAACCAACATGTATCATTTACCATGTGCCAGGCTGTGCTCTAAGCACTTTACATAAATTAACTCACCTCCTTAGGGAACAACTAAGAGGTGGTTTTTCTTGCCGTGTCCGTGTTACAGAGAAGGGCACGCAGGCGCAGTGGGGTGAAGCACCTAGTTTAAGGTCATAGCGCCTGCTGGGACCCAGGCCCTGGCGGTTCGGTGCGAGAGTCAGCACTACGCGGCCCTGTGCTGTGCTGCCTCTGGTGTTGCATCTCCTGGTGGGCGACATTGCTAGCTACTCTGTTTCCCCAGCTAGACCAGCGACCATGCCTCATGTATCTCCGTGTATCAGCACCTAACCCAGTGCTTGGCTTATAAAAGTGTCCCTTACAGATGAGATGAACAAACGAATACGCAGAAAAAGTGGTCCGGGCAGGTGAGTTGACTTCTGGCATCACAGAGGATTCACGGAGGAGGTCAGAATTAAGTTGAGTGATGACTATGATCTCAACAGCTACATACGGGGAGAAGAATTCTAGGTGGAGGAAGCACATGAACAAAAGAGCTAAGAGCTAAGGTCTTGGGAGCTGAGTTTGTGGGGAGCAGCAAGCAGTGCCACACATGGGTCTAGGGAGGTGGCGACAGATGAGGTGGCCTGGGACACCAAACTAAGGGTTTGACCCTTACCCTCGGGGAGCCAGAAGAGGCTCTTAAACCGTGGGTGTTCAATCAGATCTTAACCAGGGGTTGTCTCTGGGTCCCGGGCCAGTAAATGGGGTCAAGGGGGAGCTGGGGTTTTGCAGGGTTCCCCAAGGGGCCACCTGAGGCATCTATGAGTGAAGGGTCCCTATAGTGCCCCTTGAGGGCAGTGCCAAAAGGCAGAGCTCTGGCTGTGTAAATTATTCAAAAATTTTCTTGAAAATAAATTCATGTACAAGGTAAACAATTCAAAAAGTGGAAAAGAATATATCTGTAGAGTGAAAAAGAAGTGCTCCCTGCTAGTCCAGACACACCCCAGAAGCAAACACTGCTAACAGTTTCTTATAAACCTACCAGAAATTTTCCATGCCATGTATAGGCCATGTGTATATCCTTTAAACACACACACACACACACACACACACACACACACACACACACACAATGTATTGTCTGGCTCTTACTTTTTGCACGTAATATACCTTAGAGCTTTTTGCATATCAGGTATATAGATCTTTTTCAGTCTTTTTATCTGCCACATATTAATTATATTCCATAACATGAAGGGACTATAACACATTTAACTTATTGCAAGACGTTTAAGTTTGATGTTTTTAGCCATCACAAACGAAAGATATGTTTCTGAAAGTGGAATTGGTGGATCAAAAAGGTATGGTGCGTTTGTCATTCTGATAGACAGGGCCACATTGCCCTCCAAAGAAGTTGTGCCACTTCATACCGCCACCCCCCAGCATAGCGCCTGGTTTTTCATGTTGTGTCATAGTCACGTTTTTCATGACTTAGGGAGAAGGCACTGGTCTTGGATCTGAACACTTTGATTTCTGTCCTGGTGCTGGCTCATACATGGCCTGGGAGGCTGCGGTTCAAATCCCACCTCAGCCGCTAACTGATGTGTGACTCAAACAAGTCATTAGCCTGTCTGAACCTCAGTTTTTCCATTCTTTAAAATGGAAATAATGTCTTCAATCAAGTCTCGTTTTACTTTAAAGACAGGTCCTAAAGTA